GAAGAACTGGGTGAAATGGTTAGCGAGTTTCTGAAGTATTTAAAAAAGAATAAATATTATAAGACACTTAATACGGCGCAAAAAGAATTTCATGCCAAATTAGTAAACATTGCCTCGGCGCCGCTCGCTGATAAATATTACTCCAGATCACGTTTGGAAACTGGAGGAACTAGCTCAATTAGAAAAGAGACGATATTTTATCCGAAGAAAAAATACGACCCGGCGAATTTCTCGACAATTACGTCACCGAATTCGAGGCGTGAAGTTCCACTGAGTTGTCTCCACACCCCAAGATCCACAGATAAGAGAACAGGCACGGTATATAATTTTTTGAATTCTGATCAACTTCATTCACCAATGTCAAAGTTACGAATAAATGATTGGGACAATAAAAGCGACGATAGAATGTCAAATGAAATTCTATTCAATATAGGGTCAATTACGCCAAGAACTATCAGAAATAAAAACTTAATTACGGTCTATAATGTTACTGAAGATAATGGTATTGACTTCAATAATAATCATAAATTCAATAATAATGCCATCAATACCAAGATCAAAAATTCCGATTCTGATGAGATAAATTGGTGTACTTGTGAAAATATGCCATTACGATTGCATCCCGATCATGAAGAACAATTATCGAAATTTCCCTTTGAGAAAGCATTCGAAATAATTCGATTTATGAAGCCTTTTGGAAAATTAGACTGGATGGCAATTGATTGGTGTGCACTATCGAGAATATCAACGGCAAATATTTACGATGAAATTTACAAAAATCATCCTATAATTCAAATGTTACCAAAGAAAGCTTCAAACAGTACATGGGAGCCCCCAAAGTTAGTAAATGGAGAAAATGATACTGCGATAATATTTTCGGCGGTCCTGGAATGGACCTCAAAAGAGCATCATTTAAGTCTGAATCCACCAAAAAGAGGTCCCAGTAAAAGGTTCTATCGAAAATTTGGTTCAGATAGATTTCTGAGCCTAAAGGTTGACGCGGACCTGCAAAAACTTAATCCAAATGAGCTCGAAAAATTAAAAAGACTTTTACTTAAACCAATTATATTAGCTGGACGAACATTCGAATTGCTCTACGGAAAAGACAATACAATTTTTTATTTTGCCACGAGAGGCAAAAACATAAAAAAAACTTCTATATATAAACTTATCGATTGGCACATTCCATTCAAAGGTGACAATCTCAATATGTCAGTTTCAAAGTTTGTTTCCCGTATTGCACTTGGTCTGTCGGATACTCGACCAACGGTTATCTTTCAGCCAACCGAGATAAGACGCGTCAAGGACGTGACCTCAGCAGATGGCAATCACTGTTTGACGGATGGTTGCGGTGCTATTTCGTTGTTAGCGATGCGAAAAGTTGCAGAAGTCATGTCGTGGACCGAAACTCCGTGTGCATTACAGGGTCGCATTGGATCCGCAAAGGGAATTTGGTTTTTGGACCCTAATTTGGATATATCAAGTGGGATTTGGATTGAACTTCGGGAATCACAAGTGAAATTTGATGTATGGTGTGGCGATGAAGATCGGTTCTCTGATGAAGCTTTGCGTACTTTGGATGTTGTAAAGGTTATAAAATTGCCATCGACACCAGGATACCTAAACACGCAGTATATACGGGTTTTGGGATGTGGTGGTGTTGAACAAGAAGTTTTCTTAAGACTGGTGCTACGTCAAATAAATGAATACAAATCGAAAATAGTCGGCTGTAATGATCCACTGGAACTTATCAAATGGATTGAAGAAAATTTCAATATTATGGGAATGAGGTTGGATGAAGAAAAAAATGCAAAAATTTACGACGATTCGTTATTAGAGACCTCTTCCAATAATAGTAGTTTATTGGAGGAATTTGGTGAACAAGCAATCTCATCTGGGTTTCCTTTATCAACCCATGAAAGATGTTTACAGTTGTTACAAGCAGGATTCACCCCACAAAATTGCCCATATCTTGCCAAAGAGCTCACCGGAATAATGACACGGGAGCTTAATATGCTCACATCAAAATTTCGAATTCAAGTACCTTTATCTCGCGTGCTTACATGTATCGCGGACCCAACTGGAACTTTGAACCCCGGCGAAATCTTCATTCAACTGGATGCGAGAGCTGGACTTGACGTAAGGACTTTGCTACCATTCGGCGTCATTGAAGGTGACGTAATTGTGACAAGAACACCGTGTCTTCTGCCGTCTGACATTTGTAAAGTCCGCGCTGTGAATAATCCAAACTTGTCGAAATATTCTAATATCGTAATATTTCCGATCAAAACGCAACAACCAAATGATGGATCTTTAGCTAGTCGCTTATCTGGAGGCGATTACGATGGTGATACGGTAAGACAAAAAATGAATTCAAATTGCTTTATATTTATTATTCTAAGCATAATATTTTATAAATAATTTAGATATTCTGCTGCTGGGAACCTTCAATAGTCGGGCCTTTTCGGAATAGCCCGATTTTAGGAACTCAATCAGCGGTCAAAGATGCTATTCTTGTCGATAAGACAAAAATTCAAGACATTTTAAGCACCGAAAAACCACAAATTTCGCTGCAAGAGAAAATTTTGGACATTCATATAAATGACCTAACAAAAAAATTGAACCTATACAGTCATTTTCATGATCTTTGCGTTGAACGTTACGGAGTCCAACACCGAAAATCAATATATTTTGCGCAAATGTGTGGACACTTGGTTGACGCATTAAAACAGGGTTTGACCGTTAAAGAGAATGTCTTTATCCAAGACAGCGCACTATTTCATTCCGATTCGACACCATTATGGATGATGGAAAGGCGAGAGCAAAAAAAAAAGAAGAGAAATAAAGAGAGAAAATTGCCGGATGTCCCCATTGAAGATATTTCTCACCAGAGCCTCACGAATACTGGGTTCCTAAATAGACTATTAAGTTCAATGCGTGAACTACTTGCTGATGTGAGCTCCCCCGGTTTTACTATAGCTCCTAACGCGACTATGGAGATCGATAATGGCATCACAATGCTCTTTGGCCGTATTAAGTGTCTTATAATATTTATTCTTTTTTAAATACTTCAGAAACTCGCTAACCATTTCACCCAGTTCTTC